CCCAAACTCTGGAATAGCCTTCCTGATAACGTTCGGGGTTCAGACACACTCTCTCTGTTTAAATCTAGATTAAAGACACATCTCTTTGGCCAAGCATTCAAATAATGCATCTCATAATCTTGTACTGCAGTTATATCTGATCAAATGCACATTATTATTCTTTAGCTTGGGTTAAACAAATCAATTTTGCTTGGTTGGAACACCAACTATGCTAATTATGCGTCTATATTTTCTCTGTTTTTGCCACACAAGCTTCAGTCTGGATCCAGCCCTTATAAAGATCTGAGATGACCGAACACCTGAGAAGAGATGATGCAAACCCCTCAGAGGACCTCAGATGATGCCAACCTTGAAACAACATACAGAGCTACCAAATTTTGCTATAAGTTTGATTGCATCATATAATAATTGCTGTTAATAGTGTTTATCGTCTGTTTGATTACGTCTTTAATTGATTTTTCTGTACATTTCTGCCATATGTACATTAACTGACAGTCACCACTGATAAGCTACTACTAAATATTGTAGAAACTTAATTTCCTGTACAGTTGCTTTGCAACGATTTGTATCGTGAAAAGCTCTATACAAATAAACTTGAATTGAATTAATTGAATACTGAAATCATGCTTTCAGCTGAAAATATTCAGTTAACAATGTGAAGTGAAGTGACGTGACGTGGCCAAGTATGGTGACCCATACTCGGAATTAGTGCTCTGCATTTATCCCATCCTAAGTGCACACACACACACCGTGAACACACACCGGGAGCAGTGGGCAGCCATTTATGCTGTGGCGCCCGGGGAGCAGTTGGGGGTTCGGTGCCTTGCTCAAGGGCACCTCAGTCGTGGTATTGAAGGTGAGAGAGAGCGCTGTACATTCACTCCCCCCACCTACAATCCCTGCCGGTACGAGACTCGAACCCGCAACCTTTGGGTCCGAGTCCGACTCTCTAACCATTAGGCCACGACTGCCCGGTCCCAGAATTATATGTAAATATAATTCTGTCCCTCACATTAAGATATGGAATGGCTTCAGATGATATAGGCTATACAGTGCATGAAAAGCAAACTGGCGCTCTTCTGTTTCTTTTGGTGTATGACTCCCCCTTGTGCCGTATAAAAAGCACAATAATTGGTTAGATCAAATAATCGCGATTAGATAGTTATTTAATTATCGCGACAGACCTATTCACAGTGGTAAATTGTGTCTGTCTTCTGTGCTTTTATTCACACACACTTCATAAAGACAAAGTACTATCATAACTTGTTGAGTAATCCCACCTTTATTTTAGTGGTATTCCCTCATAAACGATTAAAGATTTGCAATGAAAAATATATTTATAGGAACATTTCAGCAGGTTCAGCATTGTTTTAATCAACTGATCTTCTCCTGATTATCTGTCTGTATGTTTGTGTGCTGAATCTTGTTACTGGAAGTAGAACATGAAAATAGTTGTGCAAGTAGTCCATTGAAGTCATAATTCTTTTTGAAAACTAATTGTGCAGCTCTAGTGTAGTAATTCTTAGGATAAAATGATCAGTTCTACAAAAACCATAGGTGATTTAGACTAGACTGACAAATGTATTATTTGGACAGCACAATTGAGACACCTGATGTTATGGTGTTTGCTGAAGGAATAATCATTGCACCGTTGTTTTTAAATTTTTGACAGGAATGAAAATGAGGTTTGAAGGATTGAAGTACGGTGCATTCAATGGATTGTACTTTTCAAAAACTCAGTTGTTCAGCTGACAAAATGTCTTTCTTTAAGCCTTTTAATAGACAAAAACTCCTTTGAATTCCATTTTATCTGCATAGATTTCAGTATTCAACCCTGACTAAGGTCCTTATTTGTATTAACATGCACATTTTTTATCTGAATGTGCTTGAATTAAAAAAATAAAAAAAACAGGAAATTCCATGTATGCTTTTATAAACTTAATACTATACTTTTACACAGAGGGAAGAGCAGGAGCCGCAGACCAAAAGGGAGAGTGAAGACAAGAGCATCACTGTAAACATTGACATCCCTGATGTTCTCAAGAAGAAGCTGGAGGATGACTGTTACTATATCAACAAAAGAAAGAAGGTATGCATGCAATTACATACTTTTTTTGGTAATATATACTAGAGCCCGACCGATATATCGTTTTGCCGATATTATCGGCCGATATGAGCCTGTCGCCGATATATCGGTATCGGCGAATATGCCGCCGATATGAACCTTTTTTGTACAGAACATATAATGCAGATAAAATGCTTGAAATGGTGTAATTACTTAGTTTGTCCAGCAGGGCGCGCTCCATTGTTTGCTACTGGCGACCTGGATGAAACGCTTTAAAGCTCAAGTCTATGGAAAACCATTGAAATTTTGAACGGCCATATCTCCGTAACAGCGCGGCGAATCCGCACCAAATTCGGGTGATCTCTTCAGCTCAAGGAACCCTCTCGAACGCGAATCGAGTGTACGTCTCGAGGCCCTCTTTCAAATGAGACCACCCCCGCGTGGATAGCCCCCGGGGTTCGGGAGTTACGGGTGGTTAAATTGTCCAAACTTTTGATTGGTACTGTACTATAATATACACAAAGAATATCGGCCGATATATCGGTATCGGCCTTTTTTTTTTAACTCCCTAATATCGGTATCGATATCGGCCCCAAAAAACCCATATCGGTCGGGCTCTAATATATACTGTACATCATCGCATCTCTAAGCTCAGATTTACTTTGGTTTGTTCATTGCATAATTTCTCCTTTAGTCTCCTTTAGTGGCATTGTGTAATGCTTACAAAAATGTTTCATTCATTTTGTTTCATTGACAACAGCTGGTGAAGCTTCCATGCCTGATGAATATAGTAAACATTCTGGAGTCCTATGTGAAGCACTTCACCCTAAATGCAGCTTTCTCAGCTAATGAGCGCTGTCGGCACCCTCAGAGCTCCACACAGACTAATATGTGTCCACACTATATGCCACCTGAGAGGAAGTAAGTTGTAACCAAAATTATTTTCTTATAAAGCTTTTTTATTTTGCTTCCCCACAACCTTACACATAGGATATGTAACATGAATGGTAGGGCTGCACGATATTGGAAAAAACTCACATTGCAATATTTAGTTTTTCTGCGATTATATATTGCGATATGAAAAAAAAAAAAGAAATCACCAGATGGCTTGAATAGCTCTATTTGGAAATAAATAATCAATGACTGGGGTGATTTTGTAGGCGAGTAAATCAGCATAGAAAATAAATATATTACAAGCATAGATAAATATAATAGAACAAAGATACAAATGAAATAAACAGTGCTTTATATTTTTCAGATAAGTCTAATAGAATTCAGGTAACTTACAGAAATGTAATAACCAAATGTAAAATAACACTACATAGTCTTCGCTGTATAAATTAAGGCCCAATCCCATTTCTACCCCTTAGCCCTTCTCCTTTCCCCTACCCCTCTGTTTCGCGCGTTCACGTGAAGGGGTAGGGGTGTCTCGATTCTCTTTTGGTTGGAGGGGTAAGAGGAAGGGCCAGATAGCCTCTCAAACGAAGATTTTTCGGGACCACACTTCAAACGAAGGGGTATGAATTATCTCAGCGTAAACCGGCTACAGCGGCAACATGGCTGCCCGAGCGAACAAAAAGAAATGTAAGCATTTTTGGCATTAATAAAGATTTTAATGAAAAGTAATCATTTGTTTTATGTAACATTCAATCATTCATATTTACGGTCATGTTACTCAAATAAATGTTTGCAAAAAATCGCTAAAGTTTGCTAACGTCATATTACAGACAGCCACAACATATTTTCATGTCTGATCAGGGCGATAACCACCGTAGACATTGAGGGGGGCTAGTCCCCCCAATAATTAGAAATCGCTAAACCCTTTTCTCAAATATTACCAATTCGAGAGAGAGAGAGAGAGATGAAAGTTGCGTGTATGCGCGTTTCTCTTTTTAGAGTGAGTTTACTTCAAAAACAGCGATTTTATCCTCTCGTGGCTGGAAAATATAATGTAGCGATTCAGTATTTAAACTGTTATTAATAAAAGTCGTGGGGCAGCGTTGACAAGTTTCTTTGCTCCTGCATGTGAGAGATCTCTGATATATATATATGTGTGTGTGTGTCAGTAAGCAACGCAGTAATATAGAACGGTAATTAAAGGCTCTAATGCACACCAGCACACCAGTATAGGTGTGTTTATTGTAGGAGCTAGACGACGTATGTTGACGTGTGACGTTATAGTAGTGGTGTCCCAATTCTTAGGGGGAATATTTTCACCCCTACCCCTTGACCCTCTGTTTCAAGGGACAAGGGGGAGGGGTAGGGATATAAAATAGAATTGGGCTTGGGCCTAAATCTAATAAATCTGTGTTAAAGCTACAAAAGTGATTTTTCTCTGTGTTTTGTTGTTTGATTAACAATCATGACACAGAAAGCAACAGGAACATTAAACTGCTGTGAATATACTATTACGCATCCATTTTCTTTCTCAATGTTTTACCTTCACCTAAACCATAAGCAACTGTGTTTACAAGGATACTTGCAGAGACATGCATTTTGACATAATTTTGCGTGTATGTGTCATTAATAGATGCGGAAGTGAACGGAATTCAGAGTTCACGTGCGTCTGCGTGGCTCTCACTGTAGCGGTGTTCCGAAACCGCTCCCTATCCGCTATATAGTGCACTATATCAGGTGTCAGCTATTTTGTAGTGCTGTCCGAATTCTGAGTGAACGACTTCATTCCCTACATTCGTTCACTACTTTTTACCCATAATGCATTCTGATTTTGAGTGTACAACCGATGTACACTCGCTGAAGCACTATTTCCCACAATCCAATGCGGAGAACCGACGAGCTGGAAGAGAGAGCAGGAGCGAGCGAGTTTTAATGAGAGATGCCATTTACATCGTTCTTATTTCTGCTTTAATGTTTATTTCATACATTATTTATATTAAAATATATTAGGTAGGCATTAACTCAATTTAATATTTTACTAATTTACTGAGGTGGCATCTTTGTTAATTAACAAAAATTTGGATAATTTGGTGGATCTATAAAAAATGTTCATTGGTAGCGTATTCATTCTGATGTAAAATTAATGGTCGACCATTGTCATCTAATCTGAGCGCAAAACGCTGCTCGGTAGAGTTTCAAGATACTACAAAAAATAAATACATAAAATTATGAACGTGTTAATGTGTGTTTATTTTTGTTGACCGTATTTTAAAAGAATTTAATGATTATGAACATAACAGAACAAATTAATAATATACCATCAATGAAACCACAAAGCTGACGCTGAGGTACAGTGCCTTGCAAAAGTATTCACACCCCTTCATTTTTTTTTTTTTTTTTTTTTTTTTTTTTTTTCCATTGAAGGGTCACAGAAGCATGTAGTCTATGTTACCCTTAATGGAAGAAGTTTGAAACAACCAGGACTCTTCCTAGAGCTGGCCTTCTGGCCAAACTGAGCAACTGATGGAGAAGGGCTTTGGTTAGTGTGGTGACCAAGAAGATGGTGGTCACTCTAGTTGAGCGCCATGATCATATATAAATATGGGGAAACTTACAGAAGGACAAACATCACTGCAACACTCCACCAATCCAGTCTTTATGGCAGTGTGGCCAAACTCAATCCTCTCCTCAGTGGAGACACATGAAAACACACTTGGAATTTGCAAAACGGCACCTAAAGGACCCTCAGACTCAGAGAAACAAGATTCTCTGGTCTGATGAACCTCAATTCCAAGCATCACGTTTGAAGGAAACCAGGCAATGCTAATCATATGCAGAGTACCATCCCAATAGTAAAGTGTGCTGGTTGTGCTGGTATGCTGTGGGGCTGTTTTTTAGCGGCAGGGACTGAGGGACTCATCAGAGTAGAAGAAAAGCAAGAAAAGCT